TGGTATGAGTACCCTCAGGTACTCAAGAGAAGTCTGGGAGGGTATGTCAACACAATTGAAATTTGGCGAAAACTGAATTTTTGTTTTAAGTTTTACAGCGCTTTATTTTTGTACTTTTTACACCCAAAAATTCCATCACCCACCCGGGTAGGATTAAATTGTGTAAACAAATGTGTTGCAATGGTAGAAAAAAAATTGTAATTTTTTTTGAGAGAGAAAAAGGGGTACTTTATTTTTTAAAAAAGTGGAGAAACACTGAACTAGTCGACTGTCCAATAAGCAAAAGCTTATCGGACAGTTGACACGCTAGCTGGCTAGTTGCTCCCCCATCCTGCCCACACTGCCTCTTTCACCAAGATGCAGCAAGAGAGTTAAGAAGAGGCAGTGCTGGGGGGAGCCAGCTTAAAAGCCGGTTCCCTCGAGCTTTGTAGGAAGGGGCAGGGGTGCAGCAGCAGCGTTCCAACTGAAATGTACGAGAGTCCCCACAGGTGCTCTTGTACGTTTCAAAGCTGAAGCGCCACAAAGGCTACGTCTACACTGGCCCCTTTTCCGAAAGGGGCATGCTAATTTTAAACTTCAGAATAGGGAAATCCGCGGGGGATTTAAATATCCCCCGTGGGATTTAAATAAAGATGTCCGCCGCTTTTTTCTGGCTTGTAGATAAGCCGGAAAAAAGTGTCTAGACTGGCCCGATCCTCCGGAATAAAGCCCTATTCCGGAGGATCTCTTATTCCTACTTTGAAGTAGGCTTTCCCTATTCTGAAGTTTGAAGTTTAGCATGCCCCTTTCGGAAAAGGGGCCAGTGTAGACGTAGCCAAAGAGTTGGGGCTCTTGTACATTTCAAAGTGGAAGCACCTGCATGGAGTCCAGGGTCAGTGGGGGACTCCTCACTGGCTCTGGGCTCCCCACAGCATTTCAGTCTTTGAAATGTAGTAGTCCTTATCGATTAATCGAATAGTCAACAGAAATCCCATTGACTATTCAATTAATTAATAGAAATTTAACATCCCAAGTTGGGAGATGCTGCTTTTTTCTTATACCAAATAGCGTGAAACAATATCTAACCATTACAAACTGCTCGATTCCTCTCAGTGGAGCAGCATTTCATCAGAAACCTAATGATGATTTAGTATTGGATCTACTTCATTGCTGATCACTTTTGCATAAAGATCTTGTTGATGTGTTTATCACAATCTAAGACAGCCTCCTTCAATTCTGTGGTTGCTAAAATACCCTGCTATTTCTTCTTCATTTTCTCTTGACACTTCTATGATGCAATAGAAATATCTGCAGCACATTTAAACTGTGGGGAAAGCAAAAATTAAAGTGAATTAAGTATCATGATTTATAAAAGGGACTAAAGGTCAGGGCCGTAGCAAGGGTGAGGCGAGTGAGGTACTTCCCCCTCAGCTATACATCCGAGGTCACAAAAAAGACAGCTACTACGCTGTCTTCACTCGTGCCTCACACCACGTCAGCACCCCTGCCCATGCCGAGGATGGTCTTGCCTAAGGCGCCAAATTAGCTAGTTACGATGCTGTTAAAGGTTGAACCTATTTTGTCCAGGACTCCATGGTCCGGAAACATCTGTGGTACAGTAGGGGTCCACGGATGTTGCTGGGCTAGAGAGGTTGCCAGAGGCTGGGCACAGTTGGTCTGGCAAGGCAAGCTGGCAGCCCGCAGGGAGCCCAGCCAGCAGCCCAGCAGCTGCAGGGCCAGTGGCCTGGAACGGAGCCCCAACCAATGGAGCTCATGCCATGGCGGCCAACAGGGCCAGTGACCATGTGCAGGGTTCAGCCTGGGGAGCCCTGTAGTGGGGTCTGGAAGCCTGGGTCGCAACCCCGCCAGCGTGCCAGGGCAGTGGAGCTTGGGAGGCAGTCTGGGGATAGAAGGTGAGCCCTGGAAGCCTGACCTCCCCATATCCAGCAAACTCCCTTGTTTGGGACCACTCAGGTTCTGAGATTGTTGGACCAGGGAGGTCCAGCCTGTACTTTGCTGTGTCTATTTGTATTTCCTTCCAGTTTTAAAAAGGGGGAATATTTAATAATGGAGTTTCACAAACTTTCCACTCAGCTGCAGAACGTAAGTTCAGTTTGCTACATGTTCAGTGGCCTTTTGGAAGACTAGACAATACTTGTGTGATGAGAGGAGAGAACTAGAGGGCATAGAGAGGCTGAAGAAGGGTTAAGACTGAGGCCATGAAATAGGAGGGGAAGGGGACTCTGGAACAAGGGAATGGACTAGGGAGAAATCTTATGTTGGTGATGAGCAGGGCTCAACAAATACACTCACCCGTGGAGAGTAGATTTTACCAGCTGGCGAGTGCAGGGGCGGACTGGCCCGGTGGGCTGTTGTGACGGGCTTGCTGACGCCCGCACTACGGGCAGCGCGGCCCCATCCGATCTGCCAGCCGGTGGAGGAGCAGAGCGCCGTTGGGAAGGGGGAAGTACAGTGATTCTTGCCACCGGGCTGCCTACATGCTGCTCTGGCATGAGGAGGCGGGGCGCGAGCCAGAGGGTGGGATGCCGGCAGACGCCAGGACTCTGGCGTGACTTGGCCCACCGATTTTTAAAGGGCCACAGCAGCTCGGCTCTGGCCGTGTGTCCCTGGGAGCTGGCTGTGGCGCTTGGCATGGCCAGGCCCCACCCCGCCCGCTCCAGTCCTACCACGGCCCCAGCCCCCTCACCAGCGAGAGACCGTTCCCTGTCGACCACCCTGCTCGCTGTGGGAGCTGGCTGGGGCGCATGGCATGGCCAGGCCCCACCCCGCCCGCTCCAGTCCTACCACGGCCCCAGCCCCCTCACCAGCGAGAGACCGTTCCCTGTCGACCACCCTGCTCGCTGCGCCCACCCCGTGCCCCTTTGTCTCTACGCTGCCCGTTCCCCACGCCACCCCTACGCCCCGCACCCTGCTCCCCTGCACCCTGGATCCCCTGCTCTCCCTCTTCTCTGCGACTCTCTGGCTCTGCGCCACCCTTGCACCCCGCACCCTGCTACCCCCGATCCCTGCCCCCCCCAGCTCTGTGCTGCCCGTTCCCTGCACTGCCCCTAGACTCCGATCCCTCTGCCCCTCCTGTTCCCCGTGTCCCATTCCCCATGCCTCCACCGCACCCCACACCCTGCTCCCCCTGATCCCTGTGGCTCTGTGCCTCCCGTTCCCCGCGCCACCCCTGTACCCCCCCACTGTTCCCTGCACCCCTCTGGCTCTGCATCCCCACCCCTGTACCCCCACACTGTTCCCTGCACCCCTCTGGCTCTGCATCCCCACCCCT